CATTCAAGTTCCTAAGGACTCAAAAATTTTAGATTTTACAAGAAGAAATGGTACCGGTGGTGAAAGTATTTATGGAGGATCCTTTACTGGTGAGTTATATTATTGAATAACAATAACTTTTTGGTTATGGCATTAATTAATTTGAAATAACGTATCATAGATGAAAATATGCGTCGTAAACATGATCAAGAAGGTCTCTTGACTATGGCAAACAAGGGGCCAAATACTAACAATTCACAATTCCTTATAACTTTAAGGCCTACTCCCCATTTGGATGGTACCATCACTAACATTAACTCTAATTAATTTTCAGGTAAAAGGGATTACATTAAATAAATTTTATTTTTCAATAGGTAAACATGTAGTCTTTGGAAGAGTTGTTACTGGATTTGAAGTCGTCCAAGCAATTGAAAATACGCCTGTAGACGATGATGATCGCCCAATTGGCATTGCTATGATAGCACAGTGTGGTGAATTGGAATTGAAAATTCCTCCGAACGTAAAAAGTATGCTTTTATTGATTTTCATGCAATTGCTGTTATTGATATATTGCATTAACATTTTCTATAGTTAGAGATAAAACCAAGCAAAAACACGTTGAGAAAAAAGATTCATCTGAATCCTCACCTGAATCTGGCTTTGGCTCACAGAAAAAGAAGCGCAAAAAACCTTCAAAGAGAACCAGATCAGAGTCTTCTGACCTGTCAAGTGAATCTAGCAGCGAATCTGAGGATGAACGTCGTAAGAAGAAAGACAAGAAAAAGAAAAAGGCATCCAAGAAAAAACGTAAAGAAAAGAAAAGAAATCGTAGTATTTCTAAATCCCGTTCGAGATCACCTGTGACACGCCGAAAGTCACGTTCTAGGTCTGGTTCTCCGGATACACGGCATGACTCGCGTTCAAGATCCTACTCTCCACGTCGTCGTTCGGTTTCCAAGTCACGTCGATCTGTGTCTAAATCACGTGCTCGCAGAACATCACGCTCTCGGAGCAGGAGCCCATTACCAAGACGTTTAACAATGGATAGTTATAGGCCCGCCGATACATATATTCCATCACGTCGTCGAGAAAGGCGATCAAGGGTTCATGATCGAAGTCACAGCCCGAATCGTGATCGAGAACGAAGTCGAGATCCAATTCGCGGACGAAGTCGTGATAAAGTCCGAGATAAAAGTGAAAGCCGTCATCAATCTCAAAGCCGAGACAAAAGCCAAGATAAAAGCCGAGACAAGAGCCGAGATAAAAGCCGTGATAAAAGCCGTGGTCGTGATGATAGTCGTGATCAAAGTCCAGTCCAAGATCAAAATCGAAGCCCGATTCGGAATAGTAATCGTGAACGAGATCGTTCCAGGTCTAAGTCTCCATCCCCGCCAGTCAAATACAAAGGCAGAGGAAGATTGGTAATGATAATATTGTTTGTTTTTTGTTTAATTTTTGTTCAATTTTGTTCAGACTTTTAAACCAAATGTATATTCATTATTAGAAATACTTCTCCACTTTGACTGCTTGGTATTGAAAAGCTTATCCGGTGAAAACAAATGGTTATTTCGTTAATAGCGTAAATAGCTACATAGTAGATGATTATACTATGTAGACATGCTCACAGAAAAATTTGCAAGCGTCCATATAGTATTTCTATTTTCTTCCGATTCATATATATGCATATACATGTATGAATTTTCTTATTGACTGCGAATTAAAATATATTATAAAAAAACCAAATGGTAAATTAGTGCTTATTATTTGATCAGTTTCCAGTTTCTTAATCAGTTTATTTTTTTGCATCAATATAAAAAAAACTACATATATAGAATATCGGTGAATCGTATAAAAGCTTAAACTAGATGGTTATTGAGCTGAGTGCTACAAAAAGAGAAATTCAGAAATATACAAACTTTAAAGAGTTGTATTGCGGAATTTTATTATACAACTGCTTTTGTGTTTTAGGTGAAAAATGTTCTTAATTTTATTCTATACAAAAAAAAAAGTCAATTCCATTTTTGGAGTACCTAGCCCATATATTTTCACATATGGGACTTTTGTAGCAAAGGGCACTGAATTAAAAAAAAATTTATTTTAATCAATTTCTTGAATTAAGCCAGTGAGAATACAATTTTTATAAAATTACAAAATTAAAATTTTGCTATAGGACTTTCATATATTAGAATTTTCTGTTATTTTAATATTTGCATGATAATTTATAATTCATATTAGATATATGGTTACAATGGTCTTTTCTCAAAGACTAATACTTCATTTGGTTTTACAAGTTTTAGTGCTATTTTTTAGATCTAGTTTTATAGTAATACTATTAAAAGTTCAGATTATTTTACTATTTAGTCTTTTAAGTAGACTTTTGTCTTTTTAGTTTCTATAATTTGTACAGTTACAGGAATTTATTATAGGTTCATACTACTTAGTATTAGTTTGTGTTTCTTTGTACAAGATACAACTATTGTATGAATGTTATGTAACCTTTTAGTTATACTAGTGTAGTATAGGTAAAAGGTATCTTATTTCAACTAATAGCAAAAAATGGTTAACTATAATATATAAAGAATTTTTAAATTTTTATTAAGATTAGAATTTGAACTCTAGATCTGTCACTTAGAAGATAATAATATAACTACTATATCATTATATTTTTAAAATACTTTTACTTAAGAGCTTAAGACAATTAATATAATAAAAATTTTTTTATAAATTAAATTTTGATTATATTAATTTATATTTTAAAATTTTTTTTTAATATTAATAATAAGATTATGCTTTTATTTTTATTAAATATTTAATTAAAATTTTATATAAAATATAAATTTATTTTTAAAATATTATAGAAAAAATAAAAGCTCAAACTAATTTATTTGTAACTAGGATTTTTCAAATTTAAATTAAATCAAATATTAGATTAATTTGAATTTGGTCAAATTAAATATATTTTTAATTTAATTTGATTTGATCAAATATTTGAATTAAATATTTAAATTTAATTTGATGTTCAAAAAAATTTTAAATTTTGATTAATAAAAAAAAAACTTAATTTATAAAAAATTTTACTAAATTTATCAATTTTAAACTTTTAAATAAAAATGTTTATCTAAATAAAATATTTCTAGTTTTATAAAATAAAAAGTTAATTGTTTTAATAAAATTATGAGTAAAAAACTTATAATTTTGAATGTTCAATTATAAATTTTCAAATAAATTAAATATTTGTCAAATCAAATTAAATTTAATTGTATTTGAATTTGATTTAATTTGAAATTTTTAAATTTAAATTTAATTTGAACTTAAAAATTTAATTAAATTAAATTAAATCAAATTTTAGAATTCTATTTATAGTCTAAATTAAGTTTAAAATTTTTTTTATATTAAATCAAATTTAAATATTTGAATTAAATATTAAATTAAATTAAATTAAATTAGTACAGGTTATCCTCATTAATATCAACCTATTTGAATTAGTTATAAATCATGTTGATTATACTATTAATGAGAAATCATATTAAAGTTGACATACATGAAGGAATTTTGATATACAAAAAATTATAAAAGTTTGTTATATGGCTTAGCTTGATATTAATAGGGTTGATATTAATGAGAGTAATCTGTATATTTATTATTTAATTAAATTTAAATTAATCAAATATTTAATTTAATTTAAATTTGAGAAACACTAATTAAAGCTAAATTATTTTTATTCTTATTAAACAAAAAGATGCATTACTATATTATTTATAAATAATTTTTTTTATTATTTTATTAAAAATTAAAGATTTACTAACTATTTTAACAAAAAATAGATCAAGAATAAAGTAACTTTTATTTCTATCTCTCTTAGTATAGTTTTTTTATTATATAGTTTATATATATAGGTTAGATACTGAGAAAAAAGATGAAATTGACATTTTTTTCAAAAGTTGTTTTTTTTACATAAATCAATTTAAAATAAGATTAAGATTATTTTTCACTTAAGACTTAAAAGTAGTTGTGTTAATAAAATTTTGTAATATAGCTTCTTAAAGTTTGTATTTTTCTATAATTTATTATAAGATTTATAACATAAAAATTAATATTCCAAAGATCTTTTTTTTTGTTAATTTCATTCCTTTTCTCAGTATCTAGCCAATATATATAATTAACTAATTAATAAAAGAAAGTGTGATGATTTAGTAAAATGAATAAGTTGTTAATCTTCCAAATAGTAGGTTGAGTATTCAAATTTATTGATAGTAAAAATTTGATATTTATATATATATATTTTTTTATTTATATAATATTATAGTAAAAACTTTAAAATACAATAAAAAATTTAATTACAGAAAAAATTTCTAAAATAAAGACTTCTAAACTACATTGTATTGCTAAAAATAGACACCCAATGTGACATTGTATCTATTTCCTAATAAGTGCTATAAATAATTATTTTAAATTATTTTTTAGTTAGAATAGGTTGAAAAAAACCTTAGATGAAAGTTAGAATATTATATAAAGTATATGATTAAACTAAAGTCTTGTAAAAGCTATTTATTAATAAAATATGTAATATTAAAAGATTGTGTAGTTCTTGAAGAATTGTTAATAAAGATATATATTGTTGGAAAATGAATTTTTATATACTTAGTTTTAACAGTTATATTTTAAGCAAATTTTTATTAATATTGAAATATGTTGCATGTGGATTATAGATCTTGATGATACTAGATAAAAAGATTGTTAGCAAGGTTGATCAAAAAGATGTTTGTTATTTATTTAAAAAGTTTTTATTATTATTGTAGGTTGTTATAAAGAAGGTGTCAGATATGACATATAAGATTAATTGGTAATTAGAATTAGTTAAGTTAACTATAAAGGTTGTAAGAATATTAAGAATAGAGAGTGCTAAATTATTAGACATTTGAAGTGAAATAAGTATTAATTGAATTGTATTAAGGATTGCTTAGTTTATATTAATATTGTTGTCTATACAAAAAATAAGATTAAGTGTATCTTTAAGTCTTGTATATTGGAAACAAGTTGATGTTATATAAAGATAAGGATATTGTAAGTTAAGATTTTCTATAATTGACAAGTTATTTGTAAGAATTTTAATATAAAAAAAATATTTTTGTGCATCATGTTCTATAGATTTAATTATTTGAAAGTTAAGAGTTCAGTTAGTTTCTAAGATGTTTTGAAAATGTTTAAGTATAAATCAAAATAAAAGTTCTTGAATTATGATAGTATTTTTAATGAAACTATAAATTTTAAATAATATAAAATAATTATTTTATAAAAAATAGGTTGAAGTAGTTGGTAGTAATAATTTAAGAACAGATTTGAAAATTTCTCTTTTGGCTAAATAGTCAGCTTGATTATAAAATAACTTTGTATATAAATTAATTTTTTGAAATTGTATATTAAGGTTTTTAAGAGTTTTAAGATAATGAATAAAGAAGATAATATCTTAATTTTTAATATATAGTTGTTTTAAAGAGAAAATATGTTGTAAGTTTTTGATTGCTGTTTGGTTATCAAGATGAATTTTAACAGCAATATTAGATAAAATAATTAAAAAAAGTAATAGAACTGCTTTAAGTTTAGTATAATTAGTATTAGCATATGATTTTATATTTGTATTAAAATTTATATTGATATTTGTTTCACAAATCTAGCATCATTTATATAATAATTGTATTATAAAAACTGTTTTTAATAATTAGATTAAGATATCTATAATAATAATCATATTAGTATAACTAGCAGATTATGAAATATTTGTATAACTGGTTATATAGTAAAATGCAAACTAGCATCAGAAGATGCAAACTTTAGATAAGTTCTTGTGATTAAATTAATTTATTAAAATTAAAAAACAAGAAGTTTATTTAAAAAAATCTGAGTTAAAAGGTAGTACTGATCTTTAATAGTATTACTATAAAAACTAGACTACCAAAAATAAATACCAGAGTGTGGTGACTTAGTAAAGTAAATAAGTTGTCATACTCCAAAGTAGTAAGTTGTAAGTTCAAAACCTACCGATAGTGAAATTTGAATAATCACTTATGTAATATATAGACAGTATTATGGCAACAGCTTTTTATTGATCAGTTTGAATAGAATACCTGTAACTATAGTCACACCAGCATGACTGACAGGTCTAGGGCATCTGTATAACCTGTTATATGAAGAAATGCAAACCAGTACCAGGTGGTGCAAACTTAAAATAAGTCCTCAGGCTGTGTAAATTTATAGAACTGAGAAGCTGGAGCCTACTTGGAAATTCTAAACAGAAAGGTAACACAGATCTTCAATAGTACTACTGTAAAGACTAGACCTAGAAAATAGATATCAATGTGAAGGATTCGAGCAGGCAAAAACCTTGAATAAGGAGTACCACCAATTAGGCTGTCAGATTTCAGACCAAAGAAAAAAGATATTAGGTCAGCCTCAATATACCAAGAACAGGTCATAGTTCTTTTGGGCTATCTGGATTGGAAGTTTGGGTTCAAAGCAGAGGTATACTAAAAGTATTAGAGATATGCTATAAAGTCAGTACTGAAGTCTGGGTAAACTCTATAAGGGTAGCTCATGTTAGTATTCTAAAAGTAGGTAAATAGTTAACAACAGAAGGTCCTTTGCATCTTATTGGCAAATAACATACTCTGAAATATGTAATAATCTAGAAACTAGTACAAAAAGGGTAGGTAACCATACTGCTCAAACAGTATATCAGTTAGGTATATACAGAGGGTTAGTTGGGGATTCCAATATAACAAGACAAATGATCAAAAAGTTTAAAATAGATAATCTTCTAGTAGATTATAGATAAGACATCTAGTGTAGAACCTTAGAGTAAACTACTTAAATAAACAACCAAAAGTTGTATATATAACTAGCTGTACTCTCATCTCTGTAAAAAATAGTTGTAATAGCTAACCCAATATAAGTCAATAAAGTATTGCCATAAGTATGACTTTTAACAAAAAAAAATAAATACCAATATTGAAGTACTCAGATAGGCAACAATCTTTAAATTGAAAGTTTCAGAGATACTATTAACCAGACTACTAAAATGAATCTGAGAAAAAAAATATTAGTTGACCTAATATGCTGATAAACTAGTTATAATTCTATATAGACTATCTGAATTAGAAGGTTAGAAAAACAGTTAAGAATATACTAAGTACTAAAAATATGTTATAAAATAGATACTAAGATTCAAATAAACTTTACAAAACATAATAGTTAAAAATAAAACTCTGATCACAAGTATTTGTTTTGCTAAAAAAATAAAAGCAAACAAACTAGGAATTGGAGAACAAAAACTTGAATGACTAAAAATAATAGAAAAGCTAGAAGTAGAAATAATTAGATGACAAAATCTAAAATTGAACATTAGTCAAGAAATAATAGAAGTTTAAGAAGAAACATAATAAGAAACAAGAACAAGTATATAATATATACAGATAAAATAACAAACTTGAAAACCAAAAAAGATACAAAAATTAAAAATAATATAGGCATAGGATAGGTGCAAACAATGAAACACAAAAATGACCAAAAGAGAAGATAGCACTTGGTTTAGAAGGATGACAAATATTAACAATAGTGAAGTTAGTAGCAATATAGATAGCAATCTTAACAGTATTAAAGGAAAAGTGAATAAAAATATATACAGATAGTAATGCTGCAATAAGGAATATTAGTAAAGATTTAGAACAAACAGACAGAAATAAAATTCTTAAGAAGAAGTATACAATATAGGTAATAAAAATTAGAGATCTTATTATGACAAAAAATATTCAGATAGAGTTTTTTAAAATCCAAAGCTACAATAAGAACAAATAAAATAATAAAGCTGATAGCTTAATGAAAAAAGGTGTGACAAGTAGGAAAATAATATAGATTGAAGAAATCAGTTGTAAAGAAATAGAGTACTGCCTAGACTAGGAAAATAAATATACTAACATATTAGCAAGATTGCTTTGCAAGCTAATAACAAATGCAAGATTAGGAGCAGAATAAAAAAAAATAAAAGCAATTAAAGAACTAGAACCAGAATTAGAAGTTATAATTTATAATTAAACATATTTTTGGAAAAGACTGAAAATAACTAAAGAAATATATTGTATAACAAGAAGAAGTAGTGCCAGAAGAAGTACATTTATAAAGTGTATAATGAATAAACTTTCACTATTAGAAGAAGTTAACAAAAGAAAATCATATATAATATAGTGCTCTTTGGAAAAACAGAAGAAAAGAAAGTAAGAATAAAAGAGGCACTAATTAAAGATCTTATTTTAAAAGAAACACAGAACAGACTGAGGCAGCTTCTAAGTACAAAGTTAAGACAGCAGTTTATGAACATAATAGCAAGAATGGTTTGGGATATATTCTATGAACAAATATGAAGGATTTGATATAAGAAGATTAATGAATAGGAGAAAAATAAAAAAATAACAGATAGAATAAAAAGAAAAAGAGAGAAAAGCACTAAGTAAAAAAAAAAAACCAAATCACAAAGAATAAAAGAAAGAAAAGAGAAAGAAAAACAAATTGGAAAAGAAATACAGAAGACATTTTTAGGACTTGTTATGGAAGAAAAAAAACCCTTTTATTATAAATTTTAAGTAGTCAAACAAGCAGCTTACTTCTGATTAAAGTAATGCAACAGATTGCACTTAGATACCATTAGGATGGCCAAATAATGCTGGACTTAGATGTTAAGGATATTTATATAATTGCAAATATAATTCCAAAATCTTAATAAAGTACTAGTGTGACTGCTTAAGAGAAAAAAAAAAAAGTATTAGTTCTGCTATAGCAATATCAGATCAGTTGTAAAAATAGATACAGTGGACTTCTGAAGATTTATCTTAAGGATAAAATAGTTTTAAGATTAAAACAATGATCTAAACATAACCTAATAATATTAATACAAGTTACAGATTTAGAAGGTTTAAAATAAAATACTTAAGCAAAGGTATTAGGTATAATAATTAATAAAAAACCTTCAAATAAACTTTTTAAATAATAATATAAAAAAGTTATATATATAGCCAATTGTATATTCTTTTTATAATAATTTTTTTTTTTTTTTAATATTAAGATAACTTCTTTGGTTTTTTGACTTTTATTAACAAATTTTAGTAATGTGATTTTATAAACTACTACAAAAGAATATACAATTAGCTATATATGTAACTTTTTTATATTATCTATTGTCATGGGCTAGAAAAATGTAATGATTTGTATATAACGATACATAGCATGAGTGATGATTGGGATCCACAGATCATACAGTCATTTTGATCTCTCAAAAACAACAAAACATGCATAATCGGACTTCCTGCCAAGAACACAAAACAAGGCAGTTGTATTTAATTTAGGAAGGCATTACACCATGACAGCAATGTTTCAAAGTAGCAAAATCTAAAGTAATAGAGGGGCAGGTTAGTATAGTTGCAATAGAATAAGGTAAAAATAAAACTATTAAAAAAACAATACTTATCTGTCTAAGTGAAACTCATGATAGCACAATTGTAAGGAGGTGGAACTGTGAAAAAATAAGAGAGCAAACTAAAGTTAAAAGAAAAATTGTTAGTAATGCAAAATGTATAAAAAGCTAAAAGAAAATATAAAAAAAAAAAACTTATTGCTTGAGTGCCCCAACTAGTAGGAGAAAGGACTGAAGTTCCTTAGTAATAGTAGTAGATAGTAGTAGTTAGTGTTATTAAATAGAAAAACTCAAGTATAATAAATATAAATAAATAAAAGTAAATATTTACCCAAATCAATCCATGCCTTAAAGCTTTATTTTCACTGATTTTGTAATGTTACAAGACATCTGGTTAGTAGAAGCGACAGACTTGCCATTTACTTGTTGCATTTTTGATAGTGAATGTGAGATTTTTGAACACAAGTGAAGTTCCATACCTTCCTTCTGATTTGAAAAACTATGCAAAGAAAGAAGAAAAGTATTAGAAAGGAAACAAGAGCAAAGAAAACAATATAGTGAAGACAAAAGAAAGCAGAGAACTTATCTAAAACCTGTGAAGTAAAATTCAATATTCTGTAAGAGGCCTCTAAAAGCACTTTCACTGAAGGATAATATGACTCATTGCTATAGTGACACAAATTTTTAACAAACTAAAACAATTTTTTTTTACAACTGAAACAACAAAAAAAAAATTTTTTTTTTTTTTTGAAACAAAGTTTTTATTAATTAAGAAACAGATCATAAATTAATTACATAATTATTGATTATAATTATACAATTAATCAGTTATAGATAAAATAAATGATCTATTACTCACAAAGTAATAAAAAGTTTAAAGTAAACTGTAACAAACTCTATAATAAGATCAACAGACTTCAAATTAACAAACTTTATTTATTTTTTTTTTGAAACAAACAATATTTTTTTTTTTACTTATCATAAACTACATAATTATTATACAATTAACTAGTCATAGATAAAATAAATGATTTATTACTTACAAAGTAATAAAAAGTTTAAAGTAACCTTATAATAGAATCGACAAACAAACTTCAAATCGATAAACAAACTTCAAATTAACAAACAAACTTCAATTAACAATCATAGTTACCTTATTTTTTTTTGTTATTTTAAAATAATATAATAAAAAAATAAAAAAAATTTTTTTTTATAAATAAAACTTTTAAATTTTTTAGAAAAAAAAAAAAAGAAGAAAAGCAAAATGGATAACTTACTTGATACTTCGATAAGTGAAGATAACCAAGCTGAACAAAATAAAACTAACATGCAAGTAACCAAGACCAAGTCAATATCATCTTAAAGAAAATTACCAATGCCTTTTGTGATGCAACTTTAGAAGCTGTTAACAATCTATGACCTGAACAGGAAAATAATTGAATTAGAGTAAGAACCTTCTATAAAGATGATAATGAAGATCTTTATAAGTGGGTGGAAGCTTTTGAACAAGCTGCTAATACTAATAATTAGGTTACAAAAAAAAAAAATCTGGATTGTATCTGAATACCTTGCTAAAATGGCTGCAAACTGGTTTTACAATAATAAGGAGACAATATGTTATTAGGATAAAGAATATAATCAAGATGGAAGCTTCATCCTTGCTTTTCTAAAACACTTTGCAACTCCTAAACAGAAACATTAATAACAAGTTGAACTGACCTCCCTAACACAGAAAAAAGGTAAACATGTAGGAATGTATGTTTACAAATTTAAAAAGTTAGTAAAAAGGGTTGCCCTAGGAAAAGCTCTGCCTAAAGAATATATTGTCAGAATGTTTATTAGAGGTTTGCAAAAAAAAATTGCCTCATTAGTGTCAGTAAAAGACTCTGAAATCCTGGATGAAGCAATCTCTGCTGCCAAAAAAATTGAAGCTAAAAGCTACTATAAAAATGTGACTATAGAAAGAAAAAAGAAAGATGATGATAAGTGGGAAGGTAATATGAATGAGTTGGTACAACAAATCCAAAATATAACAACCAATTATGCCAAACTCACAGCCCTATTAACTATCCAAACTGAAGTTAATAAGTCATATTCAAGACCACTCATAAGAGCAAATGTGTTAGTTATGTGTTATCAGTATAGTGAAAAAGGCCACTATGCAAGGAAATGTTTGACAAAAAGAAAAACTCCAGTACTCTGTGAAAGAAGGCCCATCCAACCTATCTAAGTGTTGAGGCGTAAAGTTAAAGCCAATTATAACAGTATTGATGATAGTTATAATAATGAAGAGGAAAAGAAAATTTTTGTTACTGGTGAAAGGTATCACTCCTATAGTTGTAGAAATTATGATCACCTTCCAAATTCTAAATTACAATGGGAAGATCAGTTAAGAAGTAGAAATAATGTTAACAACCAACCAAGAGAAACCAAGAAAACCTATTCTTTAATTGATGATGAAAACTTAATACAATATAATGATGACACTCTCTTCACTAGAGCCCTCAAAAGAAAAAGAGGCCTATCGATAATTGACTCACTTGCCCCATACAATATGGCTAATAACATATTAACTAAACCTGCAAGTGCTACAGTCAGACAAATGCTACAGTATCTCACACAATATAAAAACTTGGCAAAAACTCTTCGAAGGCCATCCATTATGGAAAAGACTGATTATGTCGATGCTAGTGAAAAAAGAACAACTATAGCATAATGTCACGTAAGGATCAAAAATAATCCTATAGTTGCAATTTTAGATTCAGGAGCTGTCACAAGTTTTATTACTAAAGATTAATAGATAAACTTGGCTTAAAAATTAAAGAAAGGTCTACTATGGTTATAGTAACCACTATGGATATTAGAACAAGAATATTAAAAAAAATCAAAAGTGCCAAAATTGCTATTTAAGACATGTACATCTCTAGTCCACTTCAAGTAATTGACTCAGTTGATAAGACTCTGTTATTGGGTAATAACTGGTTTGAAAGAGCTCATGCCTATATACACTTTAATGAACAAAAACTGATTTTGAGATATTTGAGAAGAGTCATTAAAATGCCAATTTCTAATAATGGATCAAAGAAGTTGCACCAACCTGATGAACAAGTTGAAATTAAGGATCCTTATAACAATGAAGACAACTTGTTCAACTAGTTGATCTATGAAGATGAAGAAATAGAAGAAACTAAAGGTTATTTTACTGAAGAGTTGATAAGTGAAGAGGACTCTGAGCTCTATTCCAACCTATAGCAAGATATACAAAGCCCTGTAGCATATCTGTCTCATATTAAAGAATTACTGATGACTCCTGTAGAACCTGAGGTGAACGACCTGAAAGAGAGAGTTGAGAAAATGTGTATTAATGAAGAATTGGATGCTAAACAACAGAAGGAAGCCAAAAAACTACTGGAAAGAGAAAAAGATATATTTGCACAAACTGTCAATAAACTTGAATGCACAAATCGCACTTATCACGTGATCGATACAGGTGATGCTACTTCTATCAAGCAAAACCTATATAGAACTGCCCCTGGTATTAAAGATTTTATTAAAAATAAAATAATGCAGTTAAAAAAAAGAGAGTTAATTCATGAGTCACAAAGCTTATGGTCTTTTCAGTTATTATAGTTCCCAAAAAGAGTAAAAAACTGCACCTGTATATTGATTACTATAAATTAAATGCAGTAACAAAAAAGGATTTATACCTTCTGCTACGAGTAAATAATCTTTTGAAAACTTTTTTTTCAGCAAGATGGTTCAGTATGTTGAACCTATTAAGTGACTACTGGCAATTACCCATTAATGAGAGTGATAAGGAAAAAACAATGTTTGTCACTATCTTTAGAACATATGAATTTAACATTATGCTCTTTGAGCTGTGTAATGCCCCTGCCAATTTTTAATGATTAATAAACAAAATTCTGGCCAACTATATTGGAAAGTTCATCATCATGTATCTAGACAACATAAATATTTATTCAAAAACATTCTATGACCATTTAAGTCATATTAATATCATCTTTACTAAACTTAAAGAAGCAGCTTTAAAATTAAATTTTGAAAAGTGTATCTTCTTTTATTCAAACATCTACTTTCTAGGTTACGTTGTAGGATGAGATAGAATCAAGCCTGATGAAGCAAAAATTAAGAAGGTAAAGAACTTTCTGATCCCAACCAACTTGTGCAAACTCTATGGTTTTATTGAACTAACATCATACTAATGATGATTTATTAAAGGTTTTACCACCATCACTTACTTATTACATTATTTATTAAAGAAAAACATTAAGTATAAATGGCAAAAAGAACAAAACTAGGCATTTGAAACTCTAAAACACCACCTGATCATTGCCTCTATCCTATGATATCCCAACTTCACAAAGACATTCTATGTGCACACTAATGCCTCTGGTTCTGGACTTGGTACAGTATTTGCACAAAAGAATGATGATGAAAAAGAGTTCGTAGTGTCATATACAAGTAGAGGATTGACACCATCTGAACAAAACTATGCTGCTATGGAATTAGAATGTTTGGCTGTACTATGGACAGTAGAACATTTTTATCATTACTACAGATTGAATTCTTCCATGGTAGTAACTAACCATAGCACACTAAAATAGTTAAAGACTTCAAAACTTACTGAAAGACATGCAAAGTGGATGCTTCATTTGTAGCCTTATGACTTTATCATCCAACATCAAAGTAGTCAAAAACATAATAACATAAATGTGTTATCCTGAATCTAATCTTCACCAAAAAAAAAAATTTTAATAATAAAAAAAAAAAAAATTAAAAATAAAAAATAAAATAAAAATAAAATAAAATTTTTTATACTTTCCTACAAATCTAAGGTACAGAATCTAGTTTAGGTGCCAGTGTTCTAGCAAATCCAAAAAAAAAAAAAATTTTTTTTTTGTAAACAGTGTAAACAAAACAATCAAATAGAACCCATCTATTATAACCAACTTAAGACATACCTTCAGACTTGCAAGCTCTCATCTGTTCTTGACTCTAAAGAAAGACAAAAATTACAAAAGAAAAGTAAATTTTACATATTCAAAAACAACATTCTATACAAAAAGAACAGAAGAAAAAAAGGTTACCTGATCTATGTAATTCAAAAGCATGAGTTAGAGCCCATCTTATTTTTAACACACCAACACCTGTTAGGAGGCTACTTCAACAAAGATATAATGTTTAACAAAATAAAGAACATCTATTTTTGGCCCCAAATGTATATTAACATTCGAAGCTATATTCAGAGCTGTAATAGATGCCAATGTAGAGGAAAGACATAAATACACAGCCCATTACAACCCATCTCAGTGACTGCACCCTTTTACCAAATTGGTATCAACTTTGTAGAACCACTTCCATAAACACCAAAATTAAAACAATACATTATTGTTGCTATGGATTACATGATAAAGTGGTCTGAAGTGATGGCTATAGAAAAGATAGATGCTGCAACAGTTGCAAACTTCTTGTACAATGAAATAATGTATTGGCACAGCTGCCCTGAATACATACTGTCTGATTATAGTACCCATTTTAATAATAATGTTATCAAAGAATTCATAAACAAATTTATAATTAAATACAAGTTATCAATGCCCTACTACCTACAGACCAATGAATTGGTAAAACAGTTTAATCATATCTTGTATGAAGCCATAGCTAAACTTGTTGAAAATGTGCTAGATTGGGATCTGCTTATTCCTTCCATTCTCTTTATCTATCTTACTACTAAGAATTCCTCTACAAAAATAATTTCATTCTATCTTGTATACAGCCTAGAAGCCTGACAGCCTATTCATCCAAATAATGAAGAAGAATTATTAAAAGGGACCATCCTTTAGCAAACTTATGAACTAATAGAGCATCTTTCCCAAATGAAAAGTATTGCATTAGATAACATCTGATAGGCTCAAGAATGGCAAAAACAATATCATGATACTTACCAGAAATTGGCTCTCGAATTCGATATTAGCAACAAGATATTGATATATAAGGCCTTAATAGAATATTCTCGAAGTAGTAAGTTTGAACCAAAATAGGTAGGCTGTATTATATGCATGATCGACTCCCAAACAATGTCTACAAGCTGTGAATAATCAACAGAAAAGTGCTGGCTATCTCTATTAATGTTAAGATCCTAAAAAGCTATTACAGTATTAAAAAAAAAAAAAATCTTTTTCTTTAGTAAGTAATAATAAAATATATACTATAATTGCTGTACTAAGACCTTCAGTACTAAAAGAAAGCTAACTTTGACAATAAAATGACAAGAAAGCTGCAGTGGAAATAACATAATTATGTTATTTCCACTTAGTCTAGGTTATTCCTACTCAGGTATGACGATGGAAATGCATCACCATCGTTAGTGTTGTGATGACAGAAATGCATCACCGTCGTCAAAGATATATTAGTATTTGCTCCATCATTCGAGTAAGGAATGATTCATGCTTGCATTGCCATTCGAGTGATGATTGGTTTATGAGTTCATCATTACACTTAGGTACCCATAATCTATAAAAATATGACGATGTATTTGTGTCCATATCATCACACTTAGATACCTCATAATCTATAAAAAATATGATGATAATTTTATGTTCACGTCATCACATGCAATATAATATATGCCAGCTTAGTAGTCATGGCTGGTTGGCTCACATAGGCAAAAAAAATATATCTGATGATACAACCAATTATATATCATTATTGTGAGGGCTAATGCTATCAGGTATGCTATCAAACATGTATGTGCAATTGCTATGCCTCGAAGAGTCGCTCCTAAAGGGTCTGATACATATATTGTTAATGTTATCAGGAAATGCCATCAATATATATTGTGTAATTGCTATCGCATATGTTATATACATGCTATCTGGTTATGCTATTGATTAATGTTATCAAATATGTATGCTAACTATATCACATAAATGCTATTCCACAATGCTATCAAAAAATGCTATCGAGTACATTATATTAAAGTATGCTGATTTCAATTGCTGGATTTTTTGACACCAGAAATATATTTGAGAACTTACGTAGTAAAAAGGCGGGTTAACTTTGACTAATAATTATAAGAAGGCAGATATATAACTCCCATAACTATTATATAATATTACCGAAGTTATACACTTCAAAAAAAGATGTTCACTACCCTAGAATATGGTTAAAATTGATTTGCTCATGTCCTAATAAAAAATCTGTCCTGGTTTCGTCCTAGTAAAAAAATGATAACTGGGATGGATTCGATATAGGAGAAAGATTTAAAATCTATTTTTATCTTGTTCTTTTATATTTATTATATATTTATCCTAGTTGTCCTAATAAAAAGTAATAATCTAAGAAAAATAAAATTTATCTACTCATGATACATTTATACTATACATAATGATATATATGTTATATACATTCTATATACATATAATATACTTTGTATACCTATAGATAAAAAAAGAAAAAAAGGTAATAAGATTGAGATTTTACTAGGACAACTAGGACAACTGGGACAGGTAGTCTAAAACTCTTTCATTTGCCTTGAAATTACCAGCAGGTATATTTTTTTCTGTCCTAACTTCTGTTCTAGAAAAAAATTCGTCCCAGTTGGAACTTCGAAAATATAGGTATCCTGCATACCACACATATATATATTAATTTTCCTTTACCCCGGATGATCGAATCTCTAATTCCCGCCTTGTGCCATCTTTTCTAGCTTTTTCTGACGATTATACACTCTTCTACGATGTTTCTGTGCATAGGGGTCACAATAACCATAATCGGAATAAGTTAACTTAACACAACTATATTCTTTACAAAGATAACGAATAGGTAAATCCCGGTGAACTTTGCATCTATTGGGATGGTAACATGGCTGATTACAAACTTCTCCAGTTCTAAGGATATAGGGACAATGATAAAATGCCATTCTTTTTGATGTTTATCTTGATTGAGTATATAATATGTACTGATCAATATTCTTTAGAATTAATTTTCATTTTGAACTTTTTAATTCTGAATATTATACTTTCAGAAAAAACATGAGTACTCAAAGTGAACATAGCATGCCTATTGTATCTGTATCATCTGATATACCAACTGTGGAAAACCAAAATTTCGAGCCAGAGTTAGAGGCAGAAAATAATGGGATGTTCTACTGCCGGGGGTTTAAAGCTTTTCCTCAATCAAAGATTTCAGAAAACGAAAAGGCAAAACAATTACTTCAATACTTATTTTACTATTTTGGCAGTGATTATTTAGGAATCCCAACTCGCAATGATATAGTTGCAAAAAATGACGAGAGTTTGTTTGTAATTCTCAATAATGCTTTAGCTAAACGAGAGGAAATTCCTTTCATAGCTGTCGATTTTGAGGGTTCATCGGAAAAAAAATGTGAAAAAAATCATTACGTTTTACGTCTTTACGGCTCTCTCATCAATAGTCAAAAAGCAGTAGTTACTCTTACAGGAATCCAGATTTTCTTTGATATACTTGTACCTGACAATGAATCTGTAGATGACTTTAAAATAAAAATAGATGAAATTCTTTGTAATACTGTAAATGCTTATAAAATAGAACATATTAAAGCATTCCTATTACAAAGTTATTATATAGAAAAAAAGTCATATTTATGAATTTTTATACTCAGTAGTGGGGATAGGAAGAAAGCTCTCCAAGCTATCCAAGATAACAATTTTGAAACCACTTCAGATGATATGTTCTCATTCCATCGTAAAATAGCTAGAGAAAATGAAATTGTGATTTCTGGTTGGTCTATGATAAGCAAGTATAGATACAAGAAACATTCGCATTATACACACGATTTTTAGGTTTCTATAAATGATTTTCGCCCAATAGAAGATCTAAGAATGATAAGTGACTGTTTTCCAATTTCAGCACTCATGAGAGATCGTACACTTATCCTTACATGGGATATAGAGACACAATCACGAGAGGTGGACGAATTTGCTAAAATACATAATGAAGAAAGTACTATATTCATGATTTGTATGACTTTGCATTGGAAAGACGATCCAAGACCGCTAAAACAAATCTGTCTTATCGATCTTGAAATTGCACCAGACTCTCACTGGATAACAGTTGTATGTGGGAATCAGACAAATTTACTAAAAGCATTTGCATTGTGCTTGAAGGCTTTCATCCCTGATATTCAATTCAGATTTAGCAATTCCAAGTACGATTGGCCGTTTATTATAGAAAGAGCTTGCAGACTTAATTTTCTCGAATGGATGTGGAAGCAAATGACAGGAAATTTTAAATTATCGAAAGAAATTCAAAAATGAAATTATTACAGGAAAGTAGAGGTGAAATCTAAAAATAGGTTTCAAATTAAAAAAGATGCCATTGATAATAATGAGAAAGAAAATGATAAGATACAATCGATTATAATCAAACTTAGTCCAGAAGATAATTATATTTCCACTTTTCTTAAAATACTGGGTTGTGTACCAATTGACATACGTGCATGTTTTATGAAACTCTATTCTCATGCAAAAGTTGATAAAAAAAGTTTACTTGCATTTTACTTAAAAATATGTGGATTGGGAGGTAAAGCGAATATGCCGTATAATAAAATGTGGAAAATTTACTCAGAAGCGAAAGAGAGTATTTCCTTATTGTAGAGCAATGATAATGCAAGGCATCGAATCTCTGATCCCCAAAGGATTTAAATAAATCACATTCTACTATAGAAAATATGCGTAAAGTAGCATATTATTGTATTATAGATGCATTGCGTTGCCAGGAGCTTATGGTTAAGCAAAATGTAATTAATGACTATAGGGAGGTCGCTTCTATAGCTTATGTATCTTTGTTTGATTCACATTATCGGGCAAACAGAATGAAAGTACGAAACCTTCTAGGTGCTTATGCCACTAAACGTAATATACTATTTACTATGAGACAATGTAAAAATATAGAAAAAGGTAAATATTCTGGCGTGTACGTATTTCCACCTAAAAAAGAAATTGAGACAAAAAGGCCTGTTACGGGATTGGATTTTGCATCTTTATATTCCAGTCTTATTATGACTTACAACCTTTTTCCGAAAAAAATGATATTAACTTATAGAGAGGCTGATATTGTACAAAAAAATAGAAATAACTTGCATAAGATTGAGTTTTCATTTAATAACTGTATTATTCATGCTTGGTGTGTAAGACATGATAATCAATTCAAAAAAAAGGGTTTATATCCTATTGTATTAGAGGATCTATTCAATAAGAGAGTAAATCTTAAAGCACAACTTGCCTTGTTAGGAAAGAAAAGGAACACCTTAGGAAAATGATAAGTTCAGTTAAAGTGAAAGGTAAAAAAATCCTGAAAACTTTAAATTTAGAATACTCATCTATATATTTTGATTATGATTATTTGGATTTGAAACAAAAAGCTTTGAAGGTATATATGAATACTTTTTACGGGAAAGCAGAAAATTCAAAATCTCTAATCTTTCTTTGTGAATTAGCCAGAGGGATTACTTCCACGGGTCAATATAATATTGATCTCGTTGCTAAATTCGTATCTGGGAAAGGTTTCGGAATAAAATATAGGGATACTGATTCTTTATATCTTACCTGTCCAGATAAATATTATGAAAAATATGATAGAGATTTTAATGAAAGGAACCTTTCTAAGAAGGAATACTGGTTTGAAATGGTTAAAATTACTATGGTTGTGATGGAAAAGTTGCGTAATCAAGTAAATGCTTATCTAAGAATAAAAAATGGCACATCTTATCTTAAAATGGCATATGAAGAGGTATTATTTCCTGTTTGCTTTACCGACAAGAAAAAATACTTTAGTGTACCATATGAAAAGGTTGTCAATTTCAAACCAAATAATCTCTTTAAAAAAGGGATTGATAGTGTAAAACAAGAACAGTCCCAGCTTTTCAAATTCATCAGAAAAAAAATCATGTAGGAAGCTATAGATATAAATAATACACATACGATTCATAAAATTGTCGAAGACACTCTCAGAGAAGCACGAAATAAGGAATAGAATTTCAATGAATTTATTGTAATGGGGACATGGAAGCCAAAAAAAGAAAATCTTTGCAATATTCGTTTTATAGGATGTATGAGAGAGAGAAGTGAGAGAATTCCTGATCCTGGTAAACGGTTTAGTTATATAGTTGTGAAGGGCCCCTGCCTTCGTGATGAGAAAGGCCAGTTAATAGCGCATAGAATTGGTGATTATATGGAGTATACGAATATAGCAAAAGAGCAAAAAATAGAAATAGATATCAATTATTATTTATATAGTACGCTTGCAATGTGTGCACATTTTATCAATGAAGATGACAGGTATCAACCACCTCCTTCATATAAGATTATGCAACTCAAAGATTCGGATGAGAAAGAAAAGCAGATCGATGCATATTCCCAGAAGGAAGCCAAAAAATGGCTAGAAAAATATATTAAAAGTCTATAATAAGTATCTTACTAATACTCCCAATATAAGTAATACCTATACAATAATAAATTAATATTTTTTCGTACATAAAAAATATCCAAGTTCAAATAGATAGTCTCGGTTACCCAATCCACATATTCTGCAATCAATCACTTTTCCTCTCAAATTCCCATGTGTGTCTCATGAATCACACAACCACAATAATTAACAGAGCAAGAAAAATATATGCCAATAGCGGTGACATTAAAGTGCTTGTCACAGCAGGAAGAGGCAAAGCCTTGGGACCAGGCCTCATCTGAGAATTCAATTCAATTAAAGCAGATATATTATTATCCAGTTGTATAAGGTGTGGAGTTACATTTTCAGATATAATCTGTGATGTATTGGGTTTTATCGATATATTTAGTATATCATCCTTGTTAGTTTCACTAATGCTAGTTCTATCCTTTACTTCAGAATTAACCTCTATATCAATTTTTGGTAGTTTGGTAATCTCATCATTAATGAAGCAAGTACCAAAAGTGCTAGTTTGTGCTGAGATATCATTATCGATTTTTTTAGCTTGATCCATACTTTTTATGTATACAAAATATTGTCTGAGATTTTTGCTAGGTTTAATAACTGCAGATATATCATCAGACTTGGTCATATTTTTTTCATCATTTCTACCAAGTATGGGGTTTGATATAGCCTTTGATTTCAGATACTCAAGTTTACTAACTTTCGAAGCTAACTCATATTCTACTTCAACTATTTTAGACTTGAGAGATAAAATCTCAGATTCTTTTTTCGATGAGTCACTTTGAATCGAAATCACATCTTTCTGGGCTGAAGACAACTTACTTTCCAATATCTTGATCATAAACTCGAGTGATTTAATTTTCTTGGATTTTGTAACATTCTCAGCCTTGGATTCAGCAATAAAAATATCCTTTTGTGCATTATGAGAAATAAGATTAGTATTTTCATTTTGTAGTTGCTTATGTTCATTAATGACCTGCAAAGTATGGATGTGTAATTTTTGGATCTCAGTATTATTTCGTAATGAATCCCGATTCCACTCCTTTCTTTTCTGATCAAAAGCCTTCATTTGTTTTATGTATTTATTCTGTAATTTTTCACTAAGCTTGTTAATTTCAGCTTTGGATTTG